CTCCTGCTGCCATTCCCACCTGGAGCTGCCCTTCCCGCTGCCATTCCCACCTGGAGCTGCCCCTCAGCTCCAGCCACAGCCCTGCTGGTTCCAGCCCCTGCCCTCAGCCCCCACTGAGGTGTTTTCTGTAGGACTGGGCTGTGCTGCTCCACCGTAACGAGTTAATTCAGGGCTCCGAGCGCCAAGGCAGCAGCTCCAGCTCACACAGAAATAAATTAATCACTTTAAAAGCTCTGTGTGAGTTCCCAGCTGAAGCCTGGCTCGTTCTGAAGAGCTCTTGATTTCCTGGTGCTAATCACAGGCTTCCTCCCATTTTAATGAAGCTCAAAGGAGCACGATTGCCTTTCTGGCTTCCCTTTCATTCCCAACAATCAACATTGGGTTTAAAAGAATCCAAAGTTGATTTGCCACAGCCAAACCCCTCATCTCTTCTAAGAGATAAATTAAGGCTGAATACCCAATAAAACCAGAGAAATCCCTCCCTGTGTGCACTAATCAGGGTAATTCATTAACGCATCACCAAAATTATACTTGTGGGTCATGTTTATGATTTTTAGATTATGCCAATCAAAAGAAAATGAAAACATTATCTATGTATTTTGCACCATGAGGAGTGGTGTGCAAAATTATTCTTCCACACCCTAGGCAAAGTTTATCAATTATACCTCGAAATTCTGCTCCATCAGGTTTCCCCCTTTGCTCAGGCTCTCCATGATCGCTTTATTCCGAAGGATGTCCTCCTCACTGAGATGTTCCCTTCTTTTCCTGGATTCCAACACAAGTCCATTCACCAAGTAGAAATCTGCCAGGAAGTTTCCTACTCTTTCCTGCATGAAAGGAATCGGGACATCAGCAACTCACAGAAGATAAAATAAAAACATTTTGATTCTTGTGTATCAAGTAATGGCAATAAGGGAATTTGGGGATTGAGCTGGAATTCCCCCGGCCCCCCACATGGGCTGGCAGTGGGCAAACCCAAAATCAACAGGTACTTCTCATGAAGGGAAGCTTTAAGACAGAGCTTGTTGAAGAATTTGAGTGAAGTCCCTTTCCAGACCACTCCCATCCCTGTCTTTCTCCAGCAGGAATGCACAGAATCCTTCCTGCACTCCCTGGAATCAACCTGCACAGATCAGAGCCTCCTGCAACAAAACCATTCCCAGCACAGTCTGTCCTCCCCCTGCCCATCAGCTACAGAATCTTTCCTCCTCCTTTCTCCTGCTGAAGGCAGTCCAGCAGACAGATTCCACATGGAATGAACCTGTGATCACTGGGGATACAGGGAGAGGGACTATTCCTTTGTCCTGAACATCTTATCCTTTCATAATCCTGGACTGGTTTGGGCCAGAAGGGACCTCAAAGCCCACCCCATTCCAGCTCCCTGCCATGGGCAGGGCACCTTCCACCATCCCAGGCTGGCCTTGGGCACTTCCAGGGATGGGACAGGCAGAGATTCTCCTGGAAATCTGCTCCAGTGCTTCTGGCAGAGCCTTTCCCTCCTGCCTCCTGCCCAGCAGCAGGCTCTGAGCTCCCCTCCCACTCACAGTTTTGTCCTCCCTGAAGAGCCACCCCGTCTGGGCCCGTGTGAACGTGATGGATTTGGTGGATAAGGTGGCAGAGTAAATATCACTGCTCATCAAAATGTCAACCTCCTCTTCTGTCTCCATCTCAGATTCCTGGAAGAAAAATTGCAAAATACTCAGAAGAACTTAACAAACAACAATTGCTTCCTCTAAAGATACACCAGTAAATACAAATCCATAAGCCTTGTCCTTTGGATCTTTTCCCAGAAGCAGCATTTCCTGAATTTTCAAGCGTTTTTATAAAACCGCTGGCCAAATGGTTTCCAAATAGTTTAATCTTGAATATTAATGTGAATAAAGCATCCCAATGGGATTTATGCAGCAGCTCAGCAGCCACACCCTTTCCACAGGCAATAATCCATCTGCTTAAGTGATTGGGGGATAAAGCTGTAATTAAAGACTTGACTAATTACAGGGGTCCAGCGGGTCAGACCCTCAGGTTGTTATCAGCTGAACTGGCCACAGAGTGACTAAAAGGATGCAAAGCAGTGGGAACAGCTCTGAAAACCCACCTGAGGACGCCCAAGTTAAGCCCAGTGGAAAGATTAAAAAGCAGCACATCGTACTTTAAACCACATTTTCCAGTCTATTCCCATTCCAGCTTTTCCTCAACCAGAAATCTGGATTCAAAGCTGGTTTCCCTCACAAAATTCAATGTCACCTTCACAGCTCAAGTTGCAACAACTGAGGTAAAAATTCTTTGGTTTGCAGTTCTCTGGGTGTTTCTGAGGCTAATTTTTTTTTTATATGTTCCCAAAAAAGCCTGGGATGTGTCCCACCCTCTTCCCAGAGCTTTACCTCGTGGTGTATTCGCTGGTAAACTTTTTGCTCATTGTCTAAAACTACAAAAGATTCGGAGGGTGCGGCGTCACCGTTAAAAATGAAGCTTAAATCCCCTCGTTGGCACTTCATGTCAGTAAAGTCTATCAGAGTTGTGTCCAGCCTGTGAAAACAACCCCAAATTTCACAAAAACGACCCATAAACACAGGAAGAAATTCGGCTTTCTAGCAGGAAAGTGATTTTTTTTAATGGCAAACAAGCACATAAAGGGCTGAGTTTTCACAGGATTTTGTAAGTAGAGCCTGGATGCAGAAATCAGCAAAAAATTGCTATAAAGTTTTCTTCAGAAAATTGTATTTAATACTGCCAGCATGAGGAGGGGAGAGGGAGAGAGTTTATTCAGTGCCACACACTGGGAAACAACTCCTCAGCAGGGTCCTGACTTGAGTAGCAACACTGGGACATGATCCAAAATCTGAAAGTAATTTTTTAAAATTTTATTTCTTTTCATTGCTATTTCTATTTTTCTCCCTCACCAACACCAAGGAAATGGTCCTGCAGACCTGAGTATCTGGAAGAAGATGGAGCTAAGACCATGGATCTCTGTAGCAATTCATGCCAGTATTGCCAGAACATTTATTTCTCATAAAAAGGTGGTTAAAGAGCCTGAACTGGGTGACTTCACATCTAAGTGGTGGGGGATTAAAACCTTATAGATTTGCCTCTGATTCCAAGGAAAAACCTTGGAATTTATCTATTTATCTATTAATCTATATATTTATCTCTTTCCCCTCAGTTCAGGCCTCATACAGGCAGAGCATTCAGAAATGAGGAGAGCAACAGCCCCAGACTCAAATTTCACCAAAAAATTCACTTCACACACCCAAGCTGCCCCTTTAATAGAATAAAAATTTCTACAGATTGAAACTCCAGGATCATATTCCTGCCTCTTTGTATTAAATTTTGGCCTCTAAAGAAAATGCCAGAAAATACATTTGATCGAAACTAAAAAGAGCTGAGCTTGGAGAGACTCCTGAAACCACCTACTGAGTTTGAGAATTTGTCACATTAAAAACCTTAAAGAGAGATATTATATCATATTTTTCTTTTATCTACAGACTGGAGCAGCAACACTTCCCCACAAAATACTGGAATTTATGTGCAATTCTGTTATAAATACCCAATCTCTGCTTTTCACTGGCACATCTGGTAGATAAAGCCTTATCCAGCTGAACTGCTCTTGCTCTATATTTAAGTTATATTCAGTTCAAAAAAGATAATCAGTGCTGTGTCATGGACGTGCCCAGGCTCCTCAGGGGTTCTGTCAGGCTCACTGGGATCCAGCTTTTCCCTGGCACAGAAGTATCTGGATAAAAAAGCAGCACTCACCTGATATTTATACCTTGTTTGTGTATTTTACATGCATCTGAAGGCAGAATTCGGGAAAGTAAAGGCACTAAAGGAGGGAGAGAAAAGGCAGTCAGGGCACTGAGATCCCTCTGCAAAGTATTCCCATTAAAACCATTCCATCAGTTTGATTCTGGAGGTGTTTTAATGCAGATACAGCATTTTCCATCATCATCTCAATCAAACACAACATCAGGGGTATTTCTATTTGATAAAATTGATTTTTTTGTAATTGTAATTGCACACTCTGCTTGCAATATCAGAGAGAATTTGTATTTCCAATTTTTTTTTTTTTGTATTTATAAATTCTAATAAATTCTGTGGCTTTTCATAGTTTGAATTCTGGGATTTAACAGTTTCTATAATGCAGCAAGGGAAACCCTGGCTCCACTTGAAGCAGAACAGCCACAAGCATAAAAAATGGTCCAAAGTATTTATATTAACTACTAAAATAATAAAACACATAAAATCATGGAATGCCAGACTGGTTTGGGTTGGGGATCATCCCATCCCAGCCCCTGCCATGGACAGGGACACCTTCCATAGCCCAGGTTCTTAAAGCAAAGAACGACTTCCCCTCCTTACTGAGTCACTGATGAGAGAAGAGAATTCAGCTCCAAAAGTGAATGAGCAAAAATAAATCAGGAAGAAGTTGTGTGTCCTGTCCTCAGGACTTACATCTCGAGGACTGGACTGTGACTGTTCCAGCACAAAGCAGAGGAGAACAAGTGTGCTGCAGGCTGATTGCTTTATCTCCCTGGGGAAGGGACATGGAAGCACTCACCCCAACTTTGAAAATCCCAGTGAAGCTCTAGATAGAAGTCACCTAGCTGAGAAGAAAAGAAGAAAATGTAAACAGCTTTTCAGGCTAAACAACTGTAACATTTGCTGGAAGACAGGCAGAAGTTGTACTTGGCAAAGGAAACTTTCTCTAATGTTGTACTTGAATTTGCACTGAATTTAAACATCACTGAAGCTTTAGCTGCAGCAGAATCAATAACGACAAAATGATGTAACTCATTTGAACTCACATTTTTAATAGTTTCTTAACACTAATTCCACCATCAAGCCCTGGATTGCAGAAGATTTATTGTAAACATGTGCTTAAAAAACACCTATGGAGTTCTCTGCTTGCTTTGAGCGAACCCAACCAATCCCAAGGAATTAGAATTAATTATACAATAATTAATGAGTCAAGTTTCAGGCAGGAGTATTGCAAAGATCAATTGCCACTGGCCTCGTGGAAATGTGCTGAAGTCACCAGGTCAGCCTCCTGTGCCTCCAGAGCACGTGTGAGCCAGAGCCAACCCCACCATGAGATGCCCAGGGATCACAACACAGCTCAGCTTTCACAGGGACAATTTAATTAACTTTTGATAAATAACTGGGTTTCTACAAATTGCTGTCCCCAAACTGAGCAATATTTCACTGTGCCCAAGGGGAATTGGCTGCTGGATGCTGATGGAGAATGAAACCAAAAATCTCTTCCATCACTGGGCAAGAGTCATTTGGGTACTGAACAGACCAGGAAATTATTCATTGACACAAGATTAAAGAAAGCCTTAAAAATCTAATGGAACAGAGATTTTTAACTCTGAGATTGCAATGATGATGAGCAGGCTGCCTTACACAAACCTTGTATTTGAATTTCTAGAAATAAATAGAATTCTGTGACCCCTTAAAACAGAGCCAAGATTGCTTTTAAGAGCAAAAAGATTGGTTAAAAACAAGGAAAAACTTCCTGGCAGTTTTCCAGTGTCCATAGTCAGAGCACAAGCCACTGCTCTCCACCCAATCTGGTTGTGTCAGCACAACTCACCTCTTTCAGGGCTTTTAATAATCGAGGTCGCTTCTCTTCAACACTTTCCCTGGACTGCTGCTTGAGCTTCCTCAGGAGTGCTGAAACTACACAGGAATTAATCCATCAACTCTGTTTGGTAATTACAGGTGAGTGTCTTACTTGAGGTCTTAAACCCAACAATGCAATGGAACATTTCATCAGACCTGAGGAATTAATCCCAGTTACAGGAACTGCACATTAACCTGCTCGGATCATCCCAGGAAGAAAAGCCTCAATAATTGTAAAACAAGCTATAGAATCATGTCAAAAGGGTTTTTACAAAGGTATCAGTAAATATGTGGATACAAATATAGAGAGTAACATCTACTCCACTGAGAAAATCAGTAGTGAGGAGATGACATGAAAATGTTGTTGGTAGATTATAAACCAGTGCATTAAATATTAATAATACATTTATATGTGTAATATATAGTGAGTTTTCTGCTATAGGAATGCAGAATATATATATAGGAATGCTACAGGTATTATCATACATGGTAATACTAAATACTATTAACATCCACCAGTGAGTAGCAGCAGAATAATTTCCTTTTGCTACTCCGTGTCTGATCTGAATATCTGAATAATACATAATATATAAATTATCTTTTCCCACAGGCCTCTTGAGATGCAGCCTAAAAGCCACATCCCACTGGCACCTGATGCATGAACAAACCTGTGAGCACAGGGAGCAGGCCAAGGAGATGATCCCACCCAGCCCAGACCCGTTTGGATCCTGTCACTGCCATTCCAAACCCAGAAAACGCCCGTGCAGAGCGTTCCCACTGCCCTCAGTCTGAGCAGAGTTAACAGTCTGCTTATGTAACCCAGAGCAATTTCTTATCAAGGAAATGGATGTGCCTGATCATGTGCAGATATAAAATGTTCAGCTGATTAAGAGAAACCCTTCAGAGAGCTGAAAGAGGGCTGGGGAAAAATAACCCAGCTTGAGAGCTCTGCTTTCCTGTTCTGAACGAGCCCCAGCTTGGATTAACTGGCAAAGTGGGATGAATGAAGAGGTGCTTACTCATCTGTCTGTCTCCATAGCTGATGGCTTCGGCCAGAGGGCTCCATCCCTGAGCGTTTTTCACCTTTACTGGAGCATTATGGGCTAAAAGCAGGTGGGCACATTCTGGAACAAAATACCCACAGTTATTTACAGTAAAGGATGCAGGAAGAGCAGTCACAATAAAACTCTACCAAAGCAATACATATCAGAGATATTACACAGATTATCAAAACACATATCTGGGTTCTGACTCACTCTAACAAAGACATTCAAGCAAGTACTTCCAGCACTTCCCTGTTCAATATTACTGTAAAAATAATTGGTGATCAGCCACCAATTATATAACACTGAAGAGACCTGTCCTTCCTGGAATGTGGAGTTTGCTTTTTATAATATTTCTGCATGTCAGATACACACACCAGTATGGAACATTTATATTTAATGCATGACATCATCTCTCTGCTACACAGACAAAGCAGAGAAATACCTCAGGGCCTTCATCCCTCTCCAAGGGGTGAATGGATCATGGGGACACAGATTTGGGGCAACTCCCATCAGCTGGAGGGGAGGCACCAACACATTCCTGGGTGCCAGAACATCCTGGGGAATCTGGGATTTAAAGAGGGCAAACAGGCACCTCTGCTCCAGGAAAGCCTCAGAGCAGGTGTGGAACCAACAGCTGCATTCCCCATCCACAGGTGGACATGATGGTGGAAAAACTGAAGGAGAGAGTTCCCATGTGCTCCTTGGAAATGGTTCTTCAGTTTCCAGCCACAGGGAAACCTCAGCACATGTCACTGAAGCCACCCTGAGCTGTCTGGAGGTGATGCAGCAGGGCCCAGCTGTCTCACCACCAAGACAGGGACTTCCTGGGTTATTTTCCTGCCACAGGTACCACAGGAAACTGCACTGGTCACTCCAGATGCAGCAGCTGTGAGTCAGTGGCAGGCTGAGCAGCTGGGGAGGAAGAGATCCCTCCCTGCTGAATACACTGTCTCCTGTGGGGATAAACAAAGGCCCTGACTAACCCAGCCAAGGGATTTTTATGGTTCCTTAAACAGTGCCCAGGACAGGAACATCACTCTGCAGGGAGCAGGCAAACCAGCTTGGAACCACCAGCCAGATTCTATTTCCAGTTCAATAAACGGGCTGGGAGAGCTGGGGGTGAAGGGGCTCCAAGAGAGCTGGAGAGGGACTGGGGACAGGAGGAGACAGGAAAGGGGGAATGGCTTCCCACTGCCAGAGCGTAGGGTTAGGTGGGATATTGGGAATAAAGCTCAGATTTCTTTTCCCACTCTTCTCCTCCAAATCCATGTGGTATCTTCTTTCCAGAAAACCTCACTAGCTTGAAACATAAGATCACATTCAGGAAAATGGAAGAAAACCCTTTTTTCCTCTCGCCCCTGAATCTTCAGGATCACCAAAAGGTAACAAAACAAATGGCTCTACCCACCTTTATGTCCCAACATCACAGCAAGATGTAAAGGAGTGTTTCCTAAAAGAAACCACAGAAATAAAAAGGTGAGATTAAAGTCACCAGAATCCACTGCAATCCCTTCCTTAGGAAACTCCAGTTCCTGCTCTAACCCAGGAACACATCAACACCCACCAGAGGAGTGACATTTGCTGGGTTATAATTGTCAAAATAAATAACCTGAGACACATTTCATGGGCCAAGAGAGGCTTTGTAATGATATCTTGAAACTCACTGCAGGCAGAGGTCCAGAGGTGTCTTTGAGAAAGACACAACCCCTGTGCTCCCCCTGGGCTGAAGGGTCTGATCCCTCCCCAGCCTGACATATCTGGGTTAAAAGCTACTCACAGATATGATACTGATTAAAAATTTAACAGCCTGTTTTATTAATTTTTCAAAGACTGAGTACTCATTTTTTACAACTACAGTACTGGGCATATTGAGAAGGAACAGCACCTTCAGTACAAAGCTGCCTTTTGGTTGTTCCCAAAGAAAGCTTTGGAGGTGATCAGCAGCCTCTCAAACCTGTCCCCATTTTCCTGGCAATGCTGTGACACAGGTGGTATTTGTGTTGTTAAATATTCACTGTGAGGCACCCAGAGCTGTTTTTCCTGGATTAATACTGCTACCAGGCTCATGACACACTTTATTTAGGCAGCTTAAAGATGTAAAGTTCTTCCACTTAACTGTATTTTGCACATTTAAACATCTTAGAGCAGTCAAGAGAAAAAAACGCTAGCAAACAAATTCCCTGTGCAATTCTACCACACACTCTGGGTTTAGAATTATATTCTCTAATTCCCTTTTTGTCAGCAGGAAGAACCTGCTCTGTGCAGAGGATTTGCTGCACATCTGGGAGAGGCTGCCACACGAATGGCAGCACCAGGGAAATTCGGATGGAGATGGGAATTCTGCCCTGCTTGCTCAGGAGGGGCTGACAGGGCTGTTCAATGTGTCCTGCATCTCATCCTTGCAGGACACTGGCAGCATCCTGGGCAGCCACAGCCCAGCTCATTATACACTAACCCAGATCAACTCCTGCTGCTATTAATAGCTGCTCCAACATCTGGGAGCCAGCACAGCACTGGGAATCCTGGATGCTGCCAGGCTCTGGCAGGGGATGGAAATAACCTTGCTGAGGAAAACGTTTGAGAAGGAGCCACACTGTGTGCCCAGGAAATGCAAATTACGTGATCCAAGGGGAAACATGGTCAAGATCATGGAGTCACAGAACGGTGAGGGCAGAAAAGCCCTCCAGGATCACCAAGTCCAAGCTGTGCCCAATTCCCACCTTGTCACCAGCACTGAGTGCCACATCCAGCCCTTCCTTGGACACCTCCAGGGATGGGCACTCCAAACCTCCCTGAGCAGTTCCAGTGCCTTTCCATGGAGAAATTCCTGCTGATGTCCAACACAATTCTCCCCTGGCCCAGCCCAGGGCCGTTCCTTCTCCTCCTGTCCCTGTTCCTGGAGCAGAGCCCGACCCCCCGGCTGTCCCCTCCTGGCAGGAGCTGTGAGAGCCACAAGGGCCCTGAGCCTCCTTTGCTCCAGGCTGAGCCCCCTCAGCTCCTCAGGGATTCTCCAGCCCCCTCAGCTCCTCAGGGATTCTCCAGACCCTTCCCGGCTCCTCAGGGATTCTCCAGCCCCCTCAGCTCCTCAGGGATTCTCCAGCCCCTTCCCAGCTCCCTCAGGGATTCTCCAGCCCCCTCAGCTCCTCAGGGATTCTCCAGCCCCTTCCCGGCTCCTCAGGGATTCTCCAGCCCTTTCCCAGCTCCTCAGGGATTCTCCAGCCCCTTCAGCTCCCTCAGCCTCTCCCAGGGCACCAGACCCTTCCCAGCTCTGTTTCCTGCCCTGGACATTCTCCAGCCCCTCGGGGTTTTTGCTGGAGTGAGAGCTTCAGAACTGACCCCAGGATTTGAGGTGAGGCCTCATCAGTGCCCAGCACAGCCACAGCCCCTTGTCCCAAGAAATCAGTGTTCCAGCAGCTCCTGGAATCTTGCCTGTGCCCATCCAGGTGGCCCAAAACCACACCTCAAACACAGCACCTGTCCCCACACACATGTGGCCTTTCACCTCTGCTGAGGTACCTGCACACCTGCAGGGAGCCAGGGCTGTTTTCCAGCTGTTTTCCAGCAAGAGGATTCGTCTGTTCAGGATTTAAGCTATTAAGTGCATGTTATAATCAAACTAAAAGTCATCTACTACTAGGTGTAGCTACAGGCTTCTCCCAGGAAACTCATTGTTTGGGAATAATGACACTGGCCTTCCTCTGGGCAGCGATTTGAAGGTTAATTTAGGAAGCTGGGTAGGCACTCAATTAGCACTCAGTTGCTTTTAACAGAACAGCAGGAGTCTCCCATTCCACTGGATTTGGCTTTCCTGCACTGAACCAACAATAAAACAGGCCTGGATTATTAACAATAAGTTCTCTCTCCCCTCTGTCCAATCCTTAGCACATCCCAGGATTCCTCTGGCTTATTTCTGAGCAAATCATCAGCTGGAGTGTCCCCCAAATAATTCCCAGTTCCAGCGTGTGTAAACAAGTGACAGATGGAATCAGGCAGGAAGAAAACAATAACAGGGAAATGTTACTCAGGCCTTTGGAATGTCAAGCCATCAAGTGGTTTGTTGTGGGTTTGTTTTTTTTAATAGTTCAAGCAAAAACTTGGAGGGAGATGATGAGTCAGAGATCCCCAAAGTGTCCCAACTCAGAACAGAGCTGGGAAAGCAGGGAGATATTAATTAGAGATTTATATATGGATTAAAAAAGGATGGAATCAATGTGTGTGATACACACTGAGGGTGACAGCACAGCAAAGAGGGATCAGGAAGTGCCTTCAAGGAAAGATTTGGAGCTGCTGCTGCTGCATTGCTTGAAGGGGAAGTGGAGGAGGAACAGGGAGAAGCAGCAGCAGGAATAGAGCGAGTGGGAAAAATCCTCCCCAAGTCTGCTGCTTTCATTCTAGCAGGATTTGCTGGAATGAAGGTGGCAGGATAAACAGATCCGTAGCTGGATTTGGAGCCCTGCCCTTAGGAAAGCGCCGTGCCAGTTGTAGGGAACACTCTTGCCCATCCTGGCTGGCAGCTGAGCCCTGTGTTACTCTGCAGCCCCCAGTGCCACCACAGACACAGCTGGAATTGCCAATTCCATCACTCCTGCCAGCGTGCCAGCCCCAGAGATCCTTCACCTTCGCGCTCCTTTTGAATTTGAAGACCACAGTCAAGCAGAGCTGATCTCCTTATCAGAAACACAACACAAGCATCCCCTTTATCACAACTTCTCAGACACCACACACGTGGAACTGGGAGTTCTCCAGCAGAAATGGATCATGTTACTCTTGAAACGGCTATTAAAAATAGAGTTTAAAACCAACCATGAAGGTCAAGCTGATCCCCCAGGCTGATTTATTAGTTAACAGTATAAAATATCCCTCAAATTAAAACGTTTTGAAATGTCCTGGCAAGACATTCAATATTTACAAATTTCAGAGCAGCACAAGGATCAGATTCCATCTCTGACACTGCTGTGGACAGAGCATTTACAGAGGAGCAGCTCAGAACAACTCTCGAAATCCAGAACCAAGCATTTAAAAAGAAAGGGGGGAAAAGGATTTATTTTTGTTGCCTGGGGTAATATCAAAAACTGCTCTGCCAACAGTCAAAGGAACCGCTCAGCATTGCCCAAAGCAAACAGGTGACAGCTCAGACATTCTGAAAAAGAATTTATCTTTCAAATGTTGTGGGGTCTTGGACACAGAGCAACACCGGGTCAGAGGCAGCTCTGCCAGCACAGTGCTGGTACTGGAGCTGACAGTGCTCAGTCATATTACGAAAATCATGGAATTATGGAATGGTTTAGGTTGGAATGGACCTTAAAACCCATCTCTGCCATGAGCAGGGACACCTTCCAGTGTCCCAGGCTGCTCCAAGCCCTGTCCAACCTGGCTTTGGACAATTCCAGGGATCCAGGGGCAGCCACAGCTGCTCTGGGCACGCTGTGCCAGGGACTGCCCACCCTGCCAGGGAACAATTCCCAGTATCCCACCCATCCCTGCCCCCTGTCAGTGGAAGCATTCCCTGCGTCCTGTCCCTCCATCCCTCGCCCACAATCCTTCCTAAAGGGGATTCACACACCTTTATGAAGCTCCCTTACAAAACTCCCAACGAATTCCCTATTTCCCGCTCCAGCATCCAGCATCCCCCGCCTCACCGGGACGCGGCCCGGAGCCCCGGATCGCCCCCGGTGCCTCCCGCTCACCGTGACTGTCCTTCTGGGCGATGCCCTGGGTGCGGATGAGCGCCGAGAGCCGCCGCACGTCCCCCTTGAACACGCACTCGTGCACGGGGAAGGGGCCGCGCTCGGGCCCGGCGGGGGCGGCCCGGGCCGGCGGGCGGTGCCGGTGCGCGCCGGGCCCGCGGTGCCCCCCGGCCCGCCCGCCCTTCCCGCCCGTGAAGGCGCCGCCGGGCGCCGCGGCCGCCTCGTCCTCGCCGGCCGCCAGCAGGTCCCCGTCCTCCTTGCTGGGCTTGTGGTCCCTGCGCAGCGAGCGGAGCTTCTCGCCGGTCATGGCCGGCGGGAGCGCTCGGAGCCCGCGGGGCCGGTCCCGCCCGGAGCGCCCGGAGCGGCCGCAGCTCCGCCCGCGCCTCACGGGCCGCGGCTCCGCGCCGCCATCTTCGGCCGCCGCTCTCGCGAGACTGCGCCGCGCCGAGAGAGCGCGCGGGAGGAGGGGGGGCGGCCTGAGGGGCGGGGCGGGAACCGCCCCGGCGGGAACCTGAGGGCGGGACCGGGATCGATCATTGATCATCGGTTATCGATCATCGATCCCAACGGGTACGGGCTGAGGGGCGGGGCGGGAACCGCCCCGGCGGGAACCTGAGGGCGGGACAGGGGATCGATCATCGGTTATCGATCATCGGTTATCGATCATCGATCCCAACGGGTACGGGCTGAGGGGCGGGGCGGGAACCGCCCCGGCGGGAACCTGAGGGCGGGGCCGGGGATCGATCATCGATCATCGGTTACCGATCATCGATCCCAACGGGTACGGGCTGAGGGGCGGAGCGGGAACCGCCCCGGCGGGAACCTGAGGGCGGGACCGGGATCGATCATCGATCATCGGTTATCGATCATCGATCCAACGGGTACGGGCTGAGGGGCGGGGCGGGAACCGCCCCGGCGGGAACCTGAGGGCGGGACCGGGGATCGATCATCGGTTATCGATCATCGGTTATCGATCATCGATCCAACGGGTACGGCCTGAGGGGCGGGGCGGGAACCGCCCCGGCGGGAACCTGAGGGGCGGGACAGGGATCGATCATCGATCATCGGTTATCGATCATCGATCATCGATCGAACGGGTACGGGCTGAGGGGCGGGGCGGGAACCGCCCCGGCGGGAACCTGAGGGCGGGACAGGGGATCAATCATCGATCATCGGTTATCAATCATCGATCCCAACGGGTACGGGCTGAGGGGCGGGACAGGGGATTGGGGATCGATCATCGGTTATCGATCATCGATCCCAACGGGCATGGGCTGAGGGGATTGGGGATTGGGGATCAATCACCAATCCCAACGGGAACGGCCTGAGGGGCAGGATTGGAAATCCGGGATGGATCCCAACAGCCACATCCTGAGGGAAGGGATCGGGGATCGATCCCAATAATCATATCCTGAGGAGCAGGACAGGGGATTGGGGATGGATCCCAACGGCCACATCCTGAGGAGACAGATTGGGGATCAATCCCAATAACCACATCCTGAGGGGTGGGATCAGGGATCGATCCCTATAGCCACATCCTGAGGGGTGGGATCGGGGATCGATCCCTATAACCACATCCTGAGGGGTGGGATCAGGGATCGATCCCTATAACCACATCCTGAGGGGTGGGATCAGGGATCGATCCCAATAACCACATCCTGAGAGGCGAGATTGATCCCAAAGGGCACATCCTGAGGGGTGGGCAGGATCAGTGATGGATCCCGATGGCCAAATTCCAAGGGACCAGGACAGGGAGACTCCACCACTCTCTGAGCAGCTGTTCCAGTCCTCTCCCACCCTCCATGGAAATTTCTTTGGGAAATGATGGGACCTGGACAGGTGTTCCTCAAAGGGACAAACAGGACAGTCCCCCTGCTGTGGTGCGAGTCCTTGTAGGTGCAGTGTCAGCTCAGAAAGGACCTGTTTGGGTCGGAGCTTCCCAATTTCCCACTGCACCTCCCGCTCCTGGGCCAGTTCTGCAAGTTTCTGCTTCCAATATGGCATGAGTAATTGTAAAAATGATGATGTCCCAAATTCCTGGTGAATTGGTTTTTTTGCTAATTCTCCCAGGGAAAACAACTCCCAAGTTGCCAGGGACACCAGACCTGCTGTGATAACAGAATTGCCTTCCTGGTGACCGTGTCTTTCCTCAGTTCACATCATCTCCCTCATCTCAAGTGAGTATTTGAAGTCATTTGAAGTAATTCTAGGGAAAAAGAAAAAAAATTTGCTTTTGCTCTATACTCCAGCGGTCTTTCCAATGAGATTCTTCTGTCTCTCGTTTTTTGAGGAAAGTCGAACCCAGCTGGGGGCAGAATGTGAGAGGCTGGCACTGTGAGCAATTCTGAGTTCTGTTCTCCCGTGCTGGAAACACACACGGAGCACGGCTGGTCTTGTGGAATGGAGGGATTGGCTCAGGCTTTAGCTGATGTTGGAAGCCTCACGCTGCCTTTTTAATTACTAGAGGCATGAAGTCACTGTTTACCAGCTTATTATGGACTCCCTTGTTCACCCCAGAAATGGAACCAAGGCATTACTCATGGGAAGGGCTCTGGGAAAACTGGTATTTGCAGGGAATCCCAACTTTACACTTTAGGGATTACTTTACACGTACAGATTCTTGAGAATGGGGTTTTTTTATCTGCCTATCAACAGGAATTTCCTACAGCAAGCAGATTTGTCAACAGGGGATGGAATTCCTCCCTCCTAAATCCCAGGTTCCTGCTTGTATGTGAGGCTGGGGCATGGCCCTGCACATATCCAGAGGTTTGTTCTTCTTAGATCCAGCTTTGTTCAGATTTTATCCATAGTTTTGTTGTAAAGAAAATGTTTCCTTACAAAATCTAATATATAAATCATTCATCAGTGGCCTTCAGCATGTATACGTCCTTTGTCCTCAGATGTCAAAGTACTGTTCCATGGACGTCAGTCCATGCAGGATAACCTTGGCAGGGAGACACACTGAATTAATTTTTAATCACAGAATCCCAGGATGTAAAAGGCTGGAAGGGACCACAGCGGCTCCTCTGGAGCCACCTCCCTGCTCCAGCAGGGACATCCCAGAGCACAGGATTGTGTCCCAATGGCTCTGGAATATCCCCAGAGGGGAGAGCCCACAGCCTCTCTGCACAATCTGCTCAGGGCTGGCACTGCCCGGGGCAGAAGGGCCTCCTGTGCAGGGGGAATTGCTGGGCTCAGTCCCTGCCCGTGGCTCTGGGGCCATCGCTGGGCCTGGAGCAGAGCCTGGGGCTGCTCTGACACCCAGGGACAGACAGGGACAGGCAGGGACACACAGGGACAGACAGAGACACCCAGGGACAGACAGGGACAGGCAGGGACACACAGGGACAGACAGAGATACCCAGGGACAGACAGGGACAGGCAGGGACACACAGGGACACCCAGGGACAGACAGGGACAGACAGAGATACCCAGGGACAGACAGGAACAGGCAGGGACACAGGGGACACCCAGGGACAGACTGGGACAGGCAGGGACACACAGGGACAGACAGAGACACCCAGGGACAGACAGAGATACCCAGGGACAGACAGGAACAGGCAGGGACAGACAGAGACACCCAGGGACAGACAGGGACAGGCAGGGACACCCAGGGACAGACAGGGACAGACAGAGATACCCAGGGACAGACAGGAACAGGCAGGGACACAGGGGACACCCAGGGACAGACTGGGACAGGCAGGGACACACAGGGACACCCAGGGACAGACAGAGATACCCAGGGACAGACAGAGATACCCAGGGACAGATGGGAACAGGCAGGGACACACAGGGACAGACAGGGACAGACAGAGATACCCAGGGACAGACAGGGACAGACAGAGATACCCAGGGACAGACAGCGATACCCAGGGACAGATGGGAACAGGCAGGGACAGACAGAGACACCCAGGGACAGACAGAGATACCCAGGGACAGACAGACAGGGACAGGGACACCCAGGGAGAGCCAGGGACACACAGGGACACACTTAGAGATACCCAGGGCTGAGCGCTCTCACTGGGCTCTCTCCAGGCTGAGCAGCCCCAGCTCCCTCAGCCCCTCCTGGGCACCGAGATGCTCCAGGCCCTTCTCAGCTCCAGGAGCTCCTGGCCCTGCTGTGCTGAGGAGCCACAGCTGGACACAGCACCCAGAGGTGCCCCCAGGGCTGGGTGCAGGGGCAGGATCACCCCTGAGCTGCTGGGAATGCTCTTCCCAATGCACCCCAGGATCCCACTGGGCACTGCTGGCCAGGGGCATTTCATTGTCCCCCAGGATCCACTGGGCACTGCTGGCCGGGGATATTTCATTGTCCCCTAGGATCCCACTGCTGGCCAGGGACATTTCATTGT